TCTGGTGGTGCTCAGAGGACCATTTGGGGTGCCAGGGATAGAACCCAGGTTGACCACATGCAAGGCAAGTGCCCTGTACTTGCCTTGTACTTCCTACTGCTCCAGCCCCCTCTTCCCTAAAATTTATAAAGGAAAAATAATAAATAAGAAAACATATATGGCTACTGGAAAGGCACCTACAAAACCCCACCTCTGGAAGTACATCATCACAGGTGAATATGCAATATCTTCATTCAGAATGGGATTCCCAGGGCACTAAGCACCAGCGGGTGTGGCCAAGCCCCACCCCCACAAGCAGACAAAAGAGAAAGCATTTTTTAAATGTGCAATTAACCTGTCAGATGTAAGTTGAAACAATCAAATGAACTGCTCTTCAAGACTTCCAACCCTAACACATGACATTTAAGGCCTAAAAGTTAGTACAGGGGTTAAAGATCTCGCCTTGCCCAGAGCCCCAAAGGGTTCAATCCCAGCCAGAAGTCATCCTGGAGCATAACCATGTGTGGCCCAACAACCAACAACTGAGAGAGACAAAAACAGATAAATAAAAGAAAACTCTTCAAAACCTTACCAAATTTCATTAAGTTCAGTGCTGATTTTCTGTAAATGCCAATTTTACACATACAATTTTTTAAAAGCCTTTTCATTATCACTGCATCTACCACAAACCAAGCTTAACTTGACAGAGTGCTAAAACAGTAGATGTCTTTAATTTCTATTGGTAAAAATGGAGTTGGTAATAGTATTCCTTCGTAAGAATATTGACACTGGAGATAACTGTGTACAGCAAGGCCACAAACGTCATTCTCTAACCCCGCTCTGAACTATGAATAATCATGTTCTTCTAACAGACCCCATTTCTGTGTCAGCTACCACAAGTGAGGAATTCATACTACAAGTGTGGTGAGATGAAGCCAAGTGTGAACAACTTTCAGATCCCTTGGGTAGGGGGACTGTTAAAGCTGTCAGGTTCAATTGCATCAGTCCACATTATTCAATGCCCCAAATTGCTACCTAATTGTTAGGAGCTTAACATATTCAAAACCATTGTTTAGGCTGAAGCTGGAATGCCCCACAATTGAGTTTTCTATAAAGTAATAGGAGGGATTAAATTGTAGTTAAACCATCTCTGAACATTCATGATTGGACAACAGCACTGTATAGTATATTCAGCCAATTCTAAGCAGGTTATCTGACTAATAACCAATCAATGTATCACGTATCTTGAGGGCAAAATTAACCCTAGAACTAAAGTGGCTACTAAAATAATTTAAGAACTGGAAAACAGCCTCAGTCAACAGCTGAACCTAAAATGGCTAGAATTTACTCATCTATACGGAGATGGAATTATAAATTAAAACAAAAAACTATGATGCTATTTTTAGTGAAGGAACTGTAGGTAGGGTGTTTATCTTGCAAACAATCCCCAGCTTATCTTGCTTGATCCCCAGCATCCCATATGGTACTCTGAGCACTGCCAGGGGTAATTCCTGAGTGCAGAGCCAGGAGTAACCCCTGTGCATTGCCTAGTGTGACCAAGAAAAAAAAAAAAAAAAGTAACAATAATGGGCAAAGAACCATGCAACCACGCTTCTCTATTACTTTTTTTTTGTATGTTTGTAGTTTGGGGGCCATACTGGAAGTGCTCTGGGCTTACTCCTGCACTGTGCTGTGGGATCATTCCCGGCAGGGCTCAGAAAACCATACGGAATGCTAGGGATCAAACCCAGGCCGGCTGCATGCAAGACAAATGCTCTACCCATAGACCCACAGTACTATAATTCCGGCCCCGTTCTCTGGTTTTAATTTTATTTCCTCTTCCCACTCTCATCTCCCTAATTACTTTCCACAAAACAAATCCTTTTTGTTTTCTTGGCCCCCCTACCCTTGTTTTTGGACCACATTCAACAGACCCCAAGGGTTACTCCTCGTGCGTGGAGTGATCCATACACTTGCCAGGGACCAAACCCAAGTGGGCAGTGAGCAAGGAGCATGCCTCCCTGCTGGACTTCTCTTAGCCCCCTGGGAAACAATCCTTAATACAGCAAATAAGTCAAATAATCCTGTCTATCTTTTTTAAAAACAAGGTCAAAAGATCATGAATGACATCTGGATTTTTATTCTGCTGGTCCCAAGGCACTCAATAAAAATTAAGTTTTCTGCAAGGAAGAATAACATTTTCATTTTCATTCTCTCCATTCTATATTTTTTAGACTATCTACTGGTTGATGTGGTGACTTCTAAATTGTAACGATTTCTATAATTATATTCTAAATAGTAATAGCTTTAATGCAACTATTTACAGTCTTGCTTTATTTTTTTTGTGTCATTCATTTTAACAAACTACATGTATAGGCACAAAAGTCAAAAAAGGACAAATGTTATTATCTAAGCATGGCAAAATATAATTAGAAAATAAGCCAATAAGAAAGCTAAACAGAAACAAGCTTTAGTCCTTTTGACAAGAAAGTTCGATTATCACATGCACCCAATTTTTTCTTTTTTTTTTTCCCTTTATTTTATTTTATTTTTTTTAAAGTTGTAGATTTACAATTTTTTGTGCTTTGGTTTCAATTATACAATGATCAGATACCCATCCCTCCACCAGTGCCCATTTTCCACCACCATGGATAATATCCCTCCCACCCCCATCCCCCCATCCCCCCTATCTCTGTGGCAGGGCAATCCCCTGTGTTCTCTCTCTCCTTTTGGGACATGCACCCAATTTTGAATGTGATTAAAACATTTAGTTGATTCTAAGTAGTTTTCAGCCCTTTCCTTGCACTTTATAAAACAATCTGCACATTGTGTATTCAACACCATTATGTCAAGGAGCGAAAATGAAGAAAGTCTGCATGGAGTCTATCTGAGAGGTCACCGGGCCTGCTGGCTGCCTTAGCAGAGGGAGCGAGCTGCCATCGGAGGCAGACACACAGATGCAGTTGTGTCCACCTACAGTGTGAATCTGGGGACGGTCACATTTCTAAGAGACCCATCTCCTGAAACATGCGGAGAGAACAAACCAACAGTACAGACTGTAACTGGCCTGGATCCGGGATTACTTGCGACTGTAATTTCTTTGTTCCTCAGCTGAGTCATATGTTGAGTGGAATTTTCCCTCTAGCTATAAATTTTTCTTCACCACCACTTCCCCCATCCACCTCCCTAATACCGACTCCACAAACCACAAATGGAATGAATAAGAAGAAATAAGGTGTTTTTTTTTCTTAATTCAGCCTGGAATTAACCAAAGTAATTAAAGCATACAACTATTTTAAAAAGGAAAAGAAAATTCACATTAAAATGCTCATCTGAAACTATGTCCAAGGATATAGTGTCATCAAGAGCATATGGTCACGGTTAATTAAAAATATAAAGCTGAAGAGCCCTTCTCTCCTCCACTCACTCACCACCTCTACCCCAAACCCACGAGGAGACTACAACTAGCACATTTTAGCCAATAAAATGAGCTAAGAAAAATTCTTGTTCTCTACACAAACTCTCCTTATTCATGCTGTGAAGTCTATAGTAGTCAATTTTTTATATTAAAAAATAATGGCACTGGACGGGGCCAGAGCATATAGTACAGTGTGTAGGGCATTCGCTCTGCGCATGGCTGGCACAATCCTGAGATCAGAATGCTGAGCCAGGAATAACCCGAGAGCATCACTGGGTGTGGCCACAAAAAAAAAAAAAAATACCACTGAAGGGGCCAGAAAAACAGTACAGGAAGAAGAGCATTTGCCTTGCACATGGTTAACCTGGGTTCGATCCCTGGCACCACTCTGGTCCCCCAAGTATTGCCAGGAGTGGTTCCTGAATGCAGAACCAGGAGTCAGATCTGAGCACAAAGGGATATGGCCCAGAACCAATGATAATGATGATGATAATTAAAAAAAAAAAAAAACACTAACTATGCCGTTTTTTGTAGTGACTGTTTTGCACTGCACTGCTCCGATTGGGGAGGGGCTGGGGGGGGGGGGGGGACCACCAACCTTGCAGCTGTGCTTGGCTTGATGTACATCTTCCAGAAAATATTAGAAAAGGATAATAAGTACATCTATTCTAAAAGTCTTTATCATGGGAATCACATACAAGTTTACATTAACTTACTAAAAGGACTTCATTTATAATCAAATGCTTGCAGTATCATAGTTTTGGACCAAAAAAAAAAATTAGAGAATTCGAAAATTAAAAAAAAAAAAAAGAAAAGAAAAGAAAAGGATTTGGAGCGCTCACCTCGCCAGCACATGTATTAAAATTGGAATGATCAGAGAAGATTAGCATGGCCCCTGCGCAAGGATGACATGCAAATTCGTGAAGTGTTCCATATTAAAAAAAAAAAGATTTGGAAATTAATTTTTGCTTCTGGTGTTGGGATAAAATTCAGGTCTCTTATATGCAAGACATGTGTTTTTTGGTCACTGAGCCACATGTCCCGGACTCTAAAGAATTTTTACCCATTCCCCAGGGTCAGACTGGGCGGGGGAAGGTGACACACGATGACTCTGCTGGGTAGAGTCCTATTCACCTATTTACTGTCTATTCAATATTCAAGTCATTAAGTTATTCAAGATTAGGCCTTCTCTCATCTCAGCCTTCTTTTTAGAGTGATCCTGTAGGTCAGAGTTGTGCAGGAACCAGGGCTGTGTGTGACTGCAGGTCCTGATTTGATCCCCATCACCTAACAGTGCCCAGCGCACCGCTAGGAGTAGCCCCCAGCTCCGAGTCAGCAGTCACCCTCAGCACAGTCAAGGATGACCCAAAATCAAACCAAAGCACAAGATCAGTCCATGTCCTAAAGCTTCTTGTGTGGGGGTGGGCCACATGCCATCGTGCTCAAGGCTTACTCCTGAGCGGCCCCAGGATCCGTGCACGAAGCTGGCATCAAACAAAGATAATACAAAGCCAGCACCCAGCAGCTGGTAAGGAAATCTGGGTCAGCCTCTGCTTCTCAGTCCTTCTCCAACTTTTTAACATAAAACCCTTTTCTATCATCAATCTCTGTCTGGTTCATAAGCACAATGACTGGGTGTTCACATGTTTCTGTGACAAGTGCCTCCTTTAAGTCTCATTACATCAGCACGTGACCCACCCATCTGACATGGGGAGAAAATTCTTTTACATCATTAGGCCAAATTATGAACTCATAAATTGAGGACCAGGATGCTGCTCAGGGGTAAAGTGCATGCTTTGGGTATAGGAGATCCAGGTTCAAGCCCCAGCACAGCCCTAAGGCATTGCCTTGCACACCAGGGTCTGATCCCCAGCATCTCATAAGATCCCTTGGACATTCCAGGGAGTGACCTCTGCACACAGAAACAGGAGGAAGCCCTGAGCAAAACCAAGGGTAATCCCAAAACAAAACAAAGAAGAATAAAAGCTCGGTGTCAATGTGTACCTTTGACCTCTCATAAATGTCATGTTAAAAATTCTACTATTTTTACCAACGTGGTGTTTAGGGAGGTGCTTTCGGGGACCATGGGGTACTGAGGACAGAACAAAGGTTGCCACTGACAAAGGAAGTGCCTCACTCTGATATGAATCCTCTGCCAGCCGTTTCCGGTTTGGGCACCACACCCACGGGTGCTCAGCAGTCACTTCTGACGGTGCTTGGGGGCCATACAGGGTGCCATGGATGGAACCTGGGTCCACTTGTGCAAGGCAAACACCCAACCCACTGTACAACTGCTCCAGCCCTTTGATCCATTCAGCCCTCTACCCTGCTCCTAGTTTATAAATTCCATGAATTTTTTTTTTTTTTTTTTGCTTTTTGGGTCATACCTAGCCAATGCTCAGGGTTTACTCCTGGTTCTGCACTCAGGAATCACTCCTGGCGGTGCTTGGGGGACCATATGGGATGCTGGGAATCAAACCCGGGTTGGCCGTGTGCAAGGCAAACGCCCTACCTGCTGTGCTATTGCTCCAGCCCCATAAATTTCATGAATATGAGAATCCCCATTTTGCTTCCTTCATCTTTAATCAAATTACTTTTATATTGGGGGAGAGAAGGGACTTGATAACACCTGTGGTGCTGGGGCTATACCAAGCTGTGGGTTTGGAGGTCACCCTGGTGACACTAGGGGACCATGTGGTGCCATGAACTCAGGCCACTGAGGCCTCACCAGGTCCAAAGACTCACTTTTGATTTACTTTTAGTCCTTATGAATTACAAAGTTACTGATGGTTGGGTTTTAGGCAAGGAGTGTTCTAGCTCTACTCCCTTCACCAGTGTCCCTCTACCCATGTCACTTCCACTGATAGATTTTAGGCGCTGTAGTTTACGTTACTGTCTCTGCTAGGGTTTCATGCTCAACACTACACCATGCTTCAGCCCCCGACCCCCACTTCTCTCTACCACTGTCTTCCTGTGTTCTATTCCCCTTCCCCCCCCGCCCCGGCCCCAGCAAACACCCCCAAACACCCCCAACGAGTGGTGAGCAGTTTCTATTGCCTTCAGGCAACTGTCAGGCCCCTCTTTAGAGTGGCAGCCTCTCTGCATTTGGGCTCCTGATTTACCTGAGTGGTAGCGACAGCAGGGGCCGCAGCGGCCGCGGCAGATGGGGAGAGGGCTCCTGCGGGCGGCAAGTGCCCAGAAGGCTGCTGAGGTAAATGAGAGCTGGAGACAGGAGTGCTCGAGCCTGAGCCAGACACTACATTTGGAAATGACACTGCTACATCACTGCTGTTATAAATACCTGCAAGAAAAGAATGCTGACATCAATACGCTACAAGGCAGCAGCACAGTTCTTCACACACAAATTAGTAACTTTGGTCATCCACATTTCCTCGGGGCCCTCCCCAGCCACACAATGCATTTCATTGCTGATTTAAAAATATTAGTAACTGAATATTAAACTTTCCCAAATCACTGTCTAAAAGCAGTGAAGTCATCTTATGCAACAAAAACAGTATTCCAAACAGACTTCTCATCACAAAGTGCTTGTGAAAAAATAATAAGGGTTTTGGGAATTCCCATGAGCAAAGAAGCAGGAGAATGGAGCAGAGTTCGTAAGACCTGGCAAACCATTCAAAACACAGATACATGGGCCCAGGAACTGATGGCTGAGAAGACAGAGGAGTACATAGAGACTCTGTCAGACTTAGGGAATGGTATTAGCCTACAGAGTCAGAACGATAGAGAGCCTGGTAACACAGACAAGATAAGCTGTTAAAATGTAAAGGCAGATTCTAGTGATACTCAGGTCTTTATGATGGCCCACCCACAGGGCCAAGAAGAGACAATGGGGACCGGTACTACTGAGGTAACAACCAGTGTCCAATGAGTATTCACTGCAGGGAGGAGGAAGGGGGGGCGGGGCGGAGACTGAAGAGCGAGGTCAGTGGCATCACAGTGTAAACATCAGAAAGATGAAATGAGAAAGAAGTTGTTTATAGAAAATTGGGTAAAAAGAAAATGGGGAAAAGAAAATAGTGGGGACAGAGACATGGCGAGAAAGAAGTGCTTGACAGAAACTCTCCAGAGAGGGATGAAGGAAAGAGCAGCCAGAAACCCAGAGATTCTGAGTCAGGGACGATCTGGGATCCACAGGAGACACTGGTTACTATCACGGGACAGTCTGGGGTTGTCAAAAGTAGGGGGTACCTCTGACATTTATGGGTGAAAGCCAGTGACACTGGAATTCTCTGGCCCGTACTGCTCACAGTGGGAGGGTGGGGGACTGAGCCTGAGTCTGCTACAAGCAGAGAAAGCAGGAGAGAACAGGCTGAAGCCCCATGCAGTCCAAGGAATTCTTCCAGGCGGGAGGTAACAAGGACTAAGCACAAAGATTAAGGCATTCACTTTGTATCCCAGAGACCCACTTTCAATTCTCAGCACCCTCTGTGGTCCCGAGCACTGCCAAGAGTGATTCCTGAGCACAGAGTCAGGAGTAAGCCCTGAGCACCTGAGCACCACAGGATGTACCCCATACCCTCCCACATACCTCCACCAAAATCAAAGTTCTGCTTGGTACTGGTACTGCACAACAGAGCCAGAGCCAACAAAAAGTTTCCCTTCCAGAAAGAGCAGGATAGCTTCAAATTCTCTAATGGTTTCTTCAACTCCCTTAGACCTCAGGTACGATGGCTACAAGTATAAAGTTTATCAAAACCTCATTGTATTTTTTCATGAGAAACTCATCATTAGACTGTTTTTACAAACTTACTCTATTTCTATGTTTTCCAAGTTTTATTTTCTTTCATTGGGGAAGGGGGGTGGTCCACATCCAGCGGTGCTCAGGTCCCAGGCTCCATACTCAGGAATCATTCCCGGTGGTGCCAGGGGGACCATGTGCCATGCCAGAAAACAAAATGGATCAGACACATGCAAGACAAGAGCCAGCATGATTTTAATCAACATATGAGTCCCTGGACTTGATCCCCAGCACCACAGAGACACACAGACTGCCAGATAAGCTCACAAAAGAATAAAGCAGGAAAATCTGTTCAAAAGAGAAGAGAAACAACAAAAAAAATGTGTGTGTGTGTGTGTGTGTGTGTGTGTGTGTAGCCTTAATATAGTAGAGAACAGCAGAAACTAAGGTCAGATAGAGACGAAGGAGCAGATTTCCTAATTTCCTAATTGTAAACCATGTAGAATTATTTGAAATTCATGCTAAGATCAGAGGAATGACAACAAAAGCAAATAGCAGAAGTCACTTTTTCCAAAGGTCACCCCTCCGACTAAGTCTGATAAGTGCAAAAGAAGTGCGAGGGGAAGAGTGGGGACGAAGGCCATTTGGAGGCCACTCCACAATTCAGGCAGCAGTGGACTTCCTGGAGGCCAAAGGGACCCATGTCAAAGATCATTGCAACTACACCCTGATAGTCATAAGCTAATATTCTTTATAGAAAAGATGAAGGAAAGGGATCATGAATGAACCCAAGGTTCCTGACTAGTGATTTTCCAATGCACTTGGGGTCCAGTGAGATAGGACATGGGCTGGTGCTAAGGCCTGGGGGCAGCTGGCCCGGGTTCTATCCACTGCACCATGAAGGCTCACCTAAGTACCACCATGAGTGACCACTGAGCACCACTGGGTGTGCTCCTCACCCCAAAAAGAGAAATGCCATTTACCAAAGTGACAAAATGTGAACAAGAATAGTGGATTTCTGTGAAAGAAAAAAGGAGTCTAGAACAAAGTAAAAGGATGGTGAGTTGATGAGAATTTTGTAAGTGAAATCAGGGGGAGAAAAGTAAAACCCTAAGAGCAGTGTCACAGAAGCCAAGAGAGGGGAAAGAACGAGGAACCATAAGCTGTATACGGTGCTGAAAGGCCAGTTAAGATGCTAGATACAGACTGAAAAATGTAGTGAGAATTGCACACACAGCGATCCAAGAAGAAAAGAAGAATCTGAGCACGTTCAAGACCAAAGCATTTATTAGTGTGCCCAATGCAGCTGAATGAAATTGATGTGTAAGACAGCATATACCTGTGTCTTATGACAGTAGCATCCGTGTTCACCAACAAGAATCCCTACTTTTCAAACTACTTGGGAGGCAAAAATCAGTACCATATCAAGTCACTAATTCAGCAGACAAACCAAAGTAAATTAATGGAATAGTCTTGAAGAATATATAATTCAGTAAATTATCAAGCCTTGTAAAGTTTCCCTCACCAACATCCCCAAATACCAAATACTCTTTTTTGGAAGTTAACACTGTGAAAGTGACTGCTCCCACCTTATTCCATGTGGGGCCCAAATCAATTTTTTTTTACAAAAATCAAAGTACCTCTCCTGACTATTTAAATCTCGACTGCTCAAGAACAAGGGCAGAAAATAGTCACACCTTATGGCAATAATACTAAGAACCTATTTAGTCTGGTTTACCTAGTCCTGGGAATGACCTTAATTCTTCTCCTTAGAGGTCCAGAATAAGGTTTTGGTTTGGGTAGGGTTTTTGATTCTGAGCCATATCCAGTGATGCTCGGGTTACTCCAGGATCTGCACTCGGGAATCATTCCTGGTGGGGCTTGGAGACCATATGGGATACCAGGGTCGGCCATATGCAAGGCCAATGCCCCTACCTGTGTACTATTGCTCCAGTTGCTCTAAAATTCTTAAGAGGTAAAATAACAAACTAATATGAATAAAGAGATGA